TTTGTCAGAGTCTTACTCTCTAGCCCCGACTGGAGTGCAATGGCGCGATCTGGGCTCACTGCAACCTCCGTCTCCCACGTTCAAGTGATTCTCTGCCTCAGCCTCTCAAGTTGCTGGGATTACAGGCGTGCACCACTGCACTCAGCTAATTTTTGTATTTTAAAGAGAGATGCAGTGTCACCATGTTGGCCAGGCTGGTCTTGAACTCCTGCCCTCAGGTGATCTGCCCACCTTGGCCTCCCAAAGTGCTGAGATTACAGGTGTGAGCCACTGTGCCCGGCCCAAGCAAGAGTTTTTAAAGGGAGGGGTAAATTTCAGAAAAGCAGAAGTTACAGGCAAAATTGTATATCAGTACATGAGGTTATACATTGGTTTGGCCTAAAAAGATGGACTATCTTTTTTTTTTTTTTTTGGTAGAGGAGACAAGGTCTCACTCTGTTGCTCAGGCTGGAGTGCAGTGGTGGGAACACTACAGCCTGGATCTCCCAGGCTCAAATCAAGCAATCCTGCCACCTCAGCCGCCCGAGTAGCTGGGACTGCAGGCACACAAGCATGCCCAGCTAATTATTTTATTTTTTATGGAGATGAGGTCTCACTGTATTGCCTAGGCTGGTCTTAAACTCCTGGGCTCAGGCAATCCTCCTGCCTGAGCCTCCGAAAGTGTTGGGACTACAGGCATGAGCCACCACACCCATCTCCCGTGGATCCATTTGATATGGGTCTGGGTTTCTGAAAAACAACTCAGGGACATATGTAAAGATGTTATCTTTAGTTTTTACAAAGAACCAAACATCTTATGACTCAAACTTCTTAGGCTGTTGTTTTGAGCTACTATTACTTTCTTGCTTATCAATTTGCTCAGGGCTAGCTAGGTATGGGGAATTTCCCTTAAAGGAACTCGAGATTTTCCCTTATTTCCATACTTGGTTGGGAGGGCCAGGCAGGCCCCTAAGAGGGGTCCCTGCTCCATCTCAATATCTGTGACAGAGGACTTAACCAAATCTGGGAGGAAGGCCTTGATGAGAGGAAGACCTGAAGAGTTGAGACCTGAAGAGTGTGTAGGAGTTAGCTGGGTGAAATGCAGAGGTGGGTAGAAGCTTTTCTGGCGGAGGGAAACCCTAGTGTCAAGGGAGAGCGCATGGTGTGAAGCACTTCCTGAGGCTGGAGCAGAAAGAGGAGATCCAGCAGAGCCAATGGTAGGCTTTGCTGAGAATGCCTAAACAGCTCTTGATGCATTTAAAGAAGGCAACGCCAATCCATTAGAAAAGTACATTGATGTCAAAACAGTCTTATGTAAAGCTGAATACCTGTATGCTCTCTTTGGCAGCACATATACTAAAATTCAAACAATACAGAGATTAGCATGGCCTCTGCACGAGGATGACAGGCAAATTCATGAACTGTTCCATAGTAAAATAAACATACAAAAAGGCTGACTATGGCCAGGCGCGGTGGCTCACACCTATAATCCTAGCACTTTGGGATGGATTGCCTGAGCTCAGGCATTGGAGACCAGGCTGGGCAACATGATGAAACCCCATCTCTAATAAAATGCAGAAAACTAGTCGGGTGTGACCAGCCTGGGCAAAACCATGAAACTCTGTCTCTACTAAAATACAAAAAATTAGCCAGGTATGGTGGAGTGTGACTGTAGTCCTAGTTACTCGGGAGGTTGAGGCAGGAGAACTGCCTGAAACCGAGAGGCGGAGGTGCAGTGAGCCGATCTCAAGCTCACACCACTGCACTCCAGCCTGCGCGACAGAGCGAGACTCCGCCTCCAAAAAAAAAAATGCTGACTATCTGGCTACGCTTCTGTAATCTCAGCACTTTGGGAGGCAGAGGCTGGAGGATCCCTTGAGCCCAAGAGTTCAAGATCAGCCTGGGCAACATAGTGAGTCCCCTATCTCTACAAAACATTTAAAATATTAGCTGGGCTTGGTGGCACACGCCTGTGGTCCCAGCTATGTGGGGAGGATTCCTTGAGCTGAAGAGATTGAGGCTGCAGTGAGCTATGCTAGCACTATTGGACTCCAGCCTGGGAGAAAGAGCAAGACCATCTATATATATATATATATAATTTATTTAATTTATTTTTAATTTTATTTATTTATTTTTTGAGACGGAGACAGAGTCTCACTTTGTCACCCAGGCTGGAGTGCAATGGTGCGATCTCAGCTCACTGCAACCTCCACCTCCTGGGTTCAAGCTATTCTCCTGCCACAGCCTCCCGAGTAGCTGGCATTACAGGCACCTGCCATCATGCCCGGCTAATTTTTGTATTTTTGTAGAGATGGGGTTTCACCATGTTGGCCAGGCTGGTCTTGAACTCCTAACCTCAGGTGATTCGCCTACCTCGACCTTCCAAAGTGCTGAGATTACAGTTGTGAGCCACCGTGCCCGGCCAAGACCATCTATAAAACAACTGAATAACCAGCTGAATAAAAGCCGAATAACCAGCATTTATCTGGTACATAGCTACAGTGTGTAAATCACTGGTGAATTCAATAAGCACAAATAACAAAAAGAAAAAAAATGAATTCAATAAACACGTGTACTTTGAAAATGTATTTTAGGCAGGGCCCGGTGGTGATCCCAGCACTTTGGGAGGCTGAGGCAGGTGGATCACTTATGCTAAGGTGTTTGAGACCAGCCTGGCCAACATGTTGAAACCCGGTCTCTACTAAAAATACAAAAAGTAGCCAGGCGCAGTGGCTCACGCCTGTAATCCTAGCACTTTGGGAGGCCGAGGCGGGCGGATCACCTGAGGTCAGGAGTTGGAGACCAGCCTGCCCAACATGGTGAAATCCCGTCTCTACTAAAAATACAAAAATTAGCCGGGCATGGTGGTGCGCGCCTGTGCTCCCAGCTACTCAGGAGACTGAGGTGGGAGAATCGCTTGAATCCGGGAGGCAGAGGTTGCAGTAAGCTGAGATCGCGCCATTGCACTCCAGCCTGGGCGACAAAATCGAGACTCCGTTTCAAAAAAAAAAAAAATTTGCCAGACAGTGGTGGTGGGTGCCTGTAGTCTGCGCTACTCTGGAGGCTGAGGTAGGAGAATCGCCTGAATCCAGGGGGTGGAGGCTGCAATGAGCCGAGATCGCGCCATTGCACCCCAGCCTGGGAGACAGAGCGCGACAACGTCTCAAAAAAAAAAAAAAAAAAAAAAAAAAAAGCCAAAGGTAATTTCCCCTAGAGAGGCACGGGGTGTTCCCTTCTAGGCACGCAGGCCCCTAAAATCCCTTCGGGCGGGCGGGTGTGGGGAGACCAAGCGGCTAGGAGACCCGGGCGGCGTTAGGGGATGCGAGCAGACTCGCTCAGCTGGGAAATTGGCGGCAATACTGCCAGGAGGCGGAACCTAGGGCGCTCGGCGACGCGGTCCTGCGGACTGTCGCTAGTGAGGCACCCGCCGGCCCGGAAGGGGCTGATGCGAACTGTGGCCACGGCAGCCATCGCGCTTTGCAGTTCGGTCTCCTGGTGTACGGCCAACGCCAAGCAGGGGATTGCGTTCTCTCCAGTCGCAGGTGAGTGACAGCCCCTCCTTCTGGGAGGACCGGCGGGCAGCAGCTATGGATCCCCTAGAAGGCGCACTTTTAGGGCCAAGACCTGCTCTGGGTCCCTGCCTGTGGCACTGCGTGAAGGGGCGCCTGTTTTTCACCCCGGGTTAGGCGGCACGAGGGAGGACAAGTCTCATCCATACTCCGCGGGGCCGTCTGATAGCCCTCGGGGCAGAACACTGCTGCTGTCAGACGCTGGTCTTTTCAGGAAAGAACGAGATGGCTGCAAGCAAGCCCCTTCCTTTCCCTGGGCCTCAGTTTCCTTAGCTGGTAAAGTGAAGGTGGCGGATCTCACTGACAGCTGAAGAGGCTATGACGCGGCCTTGTGTTTTCAGCGCTCCCAATTAGTGTAGAGGCAAATTGAGCTTCCTTACTAGTACTGGTTAACGTTTTCCGTAGCCCAGAGTTCCAGTTGAGTGGAAAAAAGATATAGTTTTGAGAGAACTGTACTGATTTTTATTTTTATTTTTAAAATTTTTGTTGTTGTTGTTTTGAGACAGAGTTTCCCTCTTGTCGCCCAGGCTGGAGTGCAGTGGCACGATCTTTGCTTACTGAAATCTCTGCCTCCTGGGTTCAAGCGATTCTCCTGCCTCAGCCTCCCGAGTAGCTGGGACTACAGGCGCCCGCCATCATGCCCGGCGAATTTTTTTGTATTTTTTAGTAGAGATGGGGTTTCACCATGTTAGTCAGGATGGTCTCGATCTCCTGACCTCGTGATCCGCCCGCCTCGGCCTCCCAAAGTGCTGGGATTATAGGGGTGAGCCACCGCATCCGGCCTAATTTTTCTATTTTTAGTAGAGATGGGATTTCGCCATGTTAGCCAGTTTGGTCTCCAACTCCTGACCTCAGGTGATCTATTCGCCTCCGCGTCCCAAAGTGCTGGGATTAAAGGCATGAGCCGCCTCACTGGGCCACTGTACTGATTTTTAAGGTGTTGAAACTTTTCCAAGATAAAAATTTGTGTTTTTTTTGTTGTTGTTTTTGTTTTTTTTTTTTTTGAGACGGAAGTCTCGCTCTGTCGCCCAGGCTGGAGCTCCGTGGGCGGGATCTCGGCTCACTGCAAGCTCCGCCTCCCGGGTTCACGCCATCTCCTGCCTCAGCCTCCGAGTAACTGGGACTAGCAGGCGCCCGCCACCTCGCCCGGCTAGTTTTTTGATTTTTAGTAGAGACGGGTTTCACCGTGTTAGCCAGGGATGGTCTCGATCTCCTGACCTCGTGATCGCGCCGTCTCGGCCTTCCCCAAAGTGCTGGGATTACAGGCTTGAGCCACCGCGCCCGGCCAAAAAATTTGTTTTAAAACAGCTAAAACTTTGACATTGTTAGCTGAAAGAACCAAATTTGTCAGCAATTTAAGGTGTTTGGTACATTGGACAAAATGAGGTGAAGAAGTCCTTTTAACTTGAAAAATTAAACCTACTATTATTTATTTGTGTGTTCTTACATCAGCCTCTATATTACCAAGTGTCTTTGAAGACGTCCTATATTCTGTGTTAAAATATCAGTGAAGAGTAAGTTGCATTGAAACAATGAAAGAAGGAAAGAAAAGGAACATTTATTGACTACTATGAGTAAGTCACTAGCTGTCATTTTACAGATGACAAATAAATGGTAGTGCCAGTATAGCAAAGCAACATGAATATCTACTATTGTACCTTTCAGTAGACTTATGTCTGTCACCAAAATGTTTTGAACTTAAAAAATGTTAAGATCGTTCATTGGCATTTTCTGAGTTTGTAGAAAAGGAAGGTGTCTTCATTTTAGAAATATCAGAGATGCATTGTCAGTAATTATAAAGATTAGCAGTTTAAATAAGGTACATTTTAACCTTCCTTTGACTCTCATTATTATACTGGAATGGAAATTCAAGCAAGAATTAAGAAAAAAGATGAGTCTAACAGAAATGAAAATCAGCCTGGGCAACATAGCAAGACCCAGTCTCTCTCTAAAAAAAAAAAAAAAAAAAAAATTGCTGGGTGCAGGGCTCTGGCTAGTAAGCCAGTAGTCCCAGCTACTCGCTGCTGAGATGGGAGGATTGCTTGAAGCCAGGTCAAGACCTGTGACCTGTGATCATGCCACTGCATTCCAGCCTGGCTGACAGAAAAGGACACTGGTGCTAAAAAAAAAGAAAAAAGAAATAGCAAAAGAAATGAAAATTATTGCCACATCATTTGAAGCTTACAAGTTAGAATGCTGTATTAGTATCTCTTTTCTTTTTTTTTTGACACGGAGTCTTGCTCTATCGCCCAGGCTGGAGTCAGTGGGTTCAGGTTATGGCACTTCCACTGCAGGCTTCAAGTGATTTCCTTGCCTCAGCTCTCAAGCTAGCTAGGTTACAGGCGGTGCACCAACACTGCTATTTCTTGTTTTTTTAGTCAGAGATGGGTTTCACCGTTGGCAAGTGGTCTTTGAACTCCTGACCTAAAGTGAGTTCCGTCGGCTTGGCCTCCCAAAAGTCTTGGATTACAGGCGTGAGCCATCGTGTCCCTCCTAATAGGTATATCTCTAGCAACTTTTTTTTTTTTTGAGATGGAGTTTCGCGTCTTGTTGTCCAGGCTGGAGTGCAGTGGCTACGATCCTGGCTCACTACAACCTCCGCCTCCTGGGTTCAAGCGGTTCTCCTGCCTCAGCCTCCTGAGGTAGCTCAGATTACAGTGCAACGCCACCACCACCCAGTTATTTTTGTATTTTTAGTAGAGATGGTGTTTCACATGGTTGGCTCAGGTGGTCTTGAACTCCTGACCTTATGTTCTGCCCGCCTCGGCCTCAACCAAGAGTGCTGGGATTACAGGCGTAAGCCCACCACACCTGGCCCTATTTTTGGATTTTTTTTTTTTTTTTTTGTACAGAGACGGGTCTCCGCATGTTCCCAGAGCATGGTCTCAAACGCGCTGTGTTGCAAGCTGATCCCCACCCTCACCTCCTCCAAAGTGCTGGCATTACAGACTGAGCCATCATGCCCAAGTTCATCCTTTTTTTTCTTTTTTTTTTTTTTTTTTTTTTAAAAGACAGGTCTCAACTTTGTTGCCCAGTTTGGAATGCAGTGGTGTGATCATAGCTCACTGCTTGAATTTTGGGGCTCAAGCAATCCTCCAGCCTCAGCCTCCTGAGTAGCTGGGACTGCAGTTTCTTGCTACCATACCCAGGTAATTTAAAAATTTTTTTGTACCAGGCATGGTGGCTCACATCTGTAATCCCAGCACTTTGAGATGCCGAGGCGGGTGGATCTCGAGGTCAGGAGTTCAAGACCAGCCTGCCAAGATGGTGAAACCTCGTTCCTACTAAAAATACAGAAAAATTAGCCAGGCATGGTGGTGGGCGCCTATAATCCCTGTTACTTGGGAGGCTGAGGCAGAGAATTGCTTGAACCCAGGAGGCGGAGGTTGCAGTGAGCCGAGATTGCGCCACTGCACTCCAGCCTGGGTGACAGAGTGAGACTCTGTCTCAAAAAAAATCTTTTTTTTTTATTTAGAGATGGGATCTTGTTATGTTGCTCAGGCTGGTCTGTAACTCCTGGTCTCAGGTGATCCTCTTGCCTTGGCCTCCCAAAGTGCTGGGATTACAGACATGAGCCACTGTGCTCAACCTGGATATTTGTATTCTAGGACAGTTACTACATCCATTTCACCATGCTTTGCATCCCAAAGTTATTAGTGCATTGATTCTACAGTCATACTCCAATGTCATATTTGCCTCTTTAGGCTGTTTTGTCCCTTATTTTCTCCCAGCAGTACTTTTTGGGTATTTGTATTTTGTCATCTTATGCGTATTTTTTTTTTTTTGTACAGGACCCTTAGAACTAATGTGTAGTTTTTATTTTTTATTTTTTTTGAGACAGGGTCTCACTGTCACCAAGTGCATGCTATCACGTCTGGTTACTTTTTGTATTTTTTATAGAAATGTGGTTTTTCCATGTTGCCAAAGCTGGTCACGAACTAAATATTTATTTATTTATTTATTTTTTGAGACACAGTCTCGCTCTGTCACCCCAGCTGGAGTGCAGTGGCATGATCTTGGCTTACTGCAACCTCTGCCTCCCAGGTTCAAGCGATTCTCCTGCCTCAGCCTCCTGAGTAGCTGGGATTACAGGCATATGCCACCACACCACGCTAATTTCTGTTTTTTTAGTAGAGACGGGGTTTCTCCATGTTGATCAGGCTGGTCTCAAACTCCTGAACTCAGGTGATCTGCCCGCCTCAGCCTCCCAAAGTGCTGGGATTACAGGCGTGAGCCACCGTGCCTGGCCATTAATATGTGGTTTTAAAAAGTAAATGAGCCAGGCATAGTGTGGCGTATGCCTGTAGTCCCAGGTACTCAGGAGGCTGAGGTGGGAGGACTGCTTGAGTCCCTGAGATTGAGGCTGCAGTGAGCAGAGACCATGCTCCTGAACTCTAGCCTGGGTGAGAGGGAGATTCTGTCAAAAAAATAAAAAGTGGCTGGGCGCAGTGGCTCACACCTGTAATCCCAGCACTTTAGGAGGCCGAGGAGGGTGGATCACTAGGTCAGGAGATCAAGACCATCCTGGCTAACATGATGAAACCCTGTCTCTACTAAAAATACAAAAAATTAGCCAGGCGTGGTGGCAGGTCCCTGTAGTCCCAGCTACTCGGGATGCTGAGGCAGGAGAATGGTGTGAACCCAGGAGGCGGAGCTTGCAGCGAGCAGAGATCACGCCAGTGCACTCCATCCTGGGCGACAGAGCGGAACTCCGTCTCAAACAAAAAAAAAGTAGTAAATGGTTTCGTGTAATTATTCATGTAAATCAGTTTTAAATATTAAATGCCATATAAGCTTTTTAAAATTTGCTTTAAAATTTTTTCTATAATAGCTTTTTTGAGATATAGTTGATAAACCATAAAATCGACCTTTCAAAATTGTACAATTAAGTGTTTTTTAGTATAGTCGCAATGTTGTGTAAACATAGCCACTGTCTAATTCCAGAACATGTGATCATCCCAAAAAGAAACCCAGTACGCATTAGCAATCATTCCCCATTTTTCCTTCCTTCAGTCTGACAACCACTAATATACTTACTCTATGGATTTATGTATCCAGGATATTTCATTTAAATGAGCCATCCATATAAGTTTAATGGAACAAGGCTTTAAGAAGTTACTTGTAATCTGAGATTCTTTTCCATTACATCCTTTGCACTGATTTTCATGTTACTTGAGTAGATCACTTTTCTAATCTGCATAGAGACTTTTCCTGTTTGGTATTGGTGCAATAAATAAATCTGCTGACGTGTGTATGTTTCCTTGTTCTTGACCTTTGCTCTTCACATGTCTTAATAGTGTGTTCATGGTGTTGTGTAACCTGTTTTCTGGGCTCAGGTATCTGTTTGCAGCTAAGTAACTTTTATTCTTAGTTGGGCATTTTTACTTCTACTTAAAACAACAACAACAACAAAAAATAGTTAATTCTGTTTCTAGTTACTCCTAGTTTGTTTTAAGATTCCTAGAAAGCACAATTTTTTTTTTTTTTTTTTTTTTTTTGAGGCAGAGTCTTGCTCTGTCATCCAGGCTGGGGTGCAGTGGCTCGATCTCGGCTCACTGCAACCTCCGCCTCCTAGGTTCAAGTGATTCCCCTGCCTCAGCCTCCTGGTTAGCTGGGATTACAGGTGTGCGCCACAACACCCAGCTAATTTTTGTATTTTTAGTAGAGATGGGGTTTTTGCCACGTTGGCCAGGCTGGTCTGGAACTCCTGACCTCAGGTGATCCACCCACCTCGGCCTCCCAAAGTGCTGGGATTACAGGTGTGAGCCACTGTGCCTGGCCGAAACCACAATTTTAAAGAAATATATATATTATTATCTTCTAAAGCAGAGTTTATCTGTGTCTTATTAGATTATCTCTCTTGGGACAAATTTTACAACAGCAAATTGGTACCATTCTTATGCAAAAATCCTTTTTCTTTCCAGGCTTTTCACCATTCCTTAGCTCTCACCTACCAACAATCATCTTCAATGAGGACTTTGCCACTTGATTCACAGTCTGTATCAGTACCCTCCAGTCTTCCAGGTGATTACACTGCCTGTCAATGTGGACAGTGTACCCTCTAGCCTGGCTTCCAGTATCTTTCACCTTCATTTTTTTTTTATCTGTCCATGCCAGAACGAGGCCTTGGAGTTTGCCACCACCCAACCCTGAACTTCTCTTGAATTCTTGAACCCCCTATATTCTCTTCCACTTTGCTGGCACAATTCTGGCCCACTTTTCACCTCTCTCACCCTTTTCTGGTTTTGGCTTAGAGAGTTTTTCTACCCTATTTTCCCAATTCTGTTCTGTGAGAAGCCTGCCTTTGATCACCGCCCCATGTCTGTATACTACGTTTCTTTACCTTTGTCCACTCAACTTGAACTTCTGATCAGATCCCTACAGCCCCTCTCACTAGTACTCTCAAAATCCTGTTCCCCCTTGTCCTTTTTCATTTCTATCCTGGATATTCTAATCTCTAGTCACTCCATGTTGAGCACTGCTAGTGGAGGGTGGAAGGTTGTAAATCAGCAGATTGGCACTGCTGTGAATGCTTGAGTTTCAATTCCAGCTGAGTCCTTGGCTTTTTTTGGCACTCTTAACTTGATTCATTCCCCACAGTAGCTATTGTAATGCTTGCTCTGCTCCTCAAAAATTCTCTATACCCCTTCACTTTTGGAGTCAGATTCTCACCACCTCCACAAATTTTCTGGCCATCTTTCCTTCTAATCTTAGACAGAGAGATATGCTCTCAGTCCAAGCTCCTCTTGGGACTTTGTCGCTTTTGGTTAGTTCCTTCCTTCCCTATAACTTCTTCTATTCCACTAGCTCCTTCTCTTCAGTTTATCATCATACTCAAGCCTCACTCTCTTTGAGAAGAAAATTTCACTTCCAGGCCTGGTGCAGTGGCTCACGCCTGTAATCCCAGCACTTTTAGAGGCCGAGGCAGGTGGATCAC